CACCGTGGGGGAATTTTTGAGAGGATGGCGGCGATCCGACAAACGGGCACCGTGGAAGAATACGTCAGGGAATTCGAGGCGTTAGCGGGACAGACGAAGGAATTCTCTGATCACCAGCTGTTGGGATATTTTTTGGCGGGATTACGAGAGGAGTTGAGATGTCAGATGAGGCCACACGACCCGCGAGATCTGATGACCGCGATGAAGATCGCGCGTGACGTCGAAGAGGCTCTTCGGGGCCTAGGATTGATGGGATGGGCCGGAACCAAGAACCCATCTCCATGGGGGCGACCTTCCGGTGGAGGAGCGGTGGTGGCTAGGACCGAGCCACAGAGAAGCACTTCGGGAAGAACTAGTCCGGCCGAAAGCAGTGGGTCAGTGAGACAAGACAGAGCGACGGGGAATGTGACGGCGAGAAGCGGAAATGTCGGCGGAGGGGAGAACAGGGGAAGAAACACACGTAACCTACCTTACCCAGAGTTTCTGAAACGCCGGGAAGAAGGCCTGTGTTTTCGCTGTGGGGGACCTTTCAGCCCTGGCCATCAGTGTCCGGAGAAGAGTTTGCGGGTGGTGTTACTGGCCGAAGATGAAGAAGGTGGTGAAGAGGGGATGGAGGTCGAAACAGAAACCCCATGCATGGAGCTATCGACGTTCTCTGCCGGGGGATTAACCCAACCCAAGACGCTGAAACAGCAAGGTCGAGTGGGGGAGAAAGACGTTCTAATTCTGGTCGACAGTGGCGCCAGCCACAACTTCGTGAGTAGACGGTTGGTGGAGGAACTGCAGCTTGCACAGGAGGACACCCCTCCCTACCAGGTGAGTCTGGGAGACGGACGTAAGAAAAGGGCCCGTGGATGTTGCCCGAAGGTAGTGGTCGACATGGGGGGAGTTGCGATAGAGGAAAAATTTTACTTGTTCGACCTGGGGGGTGTCGACATGATCCTAGGAGTGAAGTGGTTGGCCAAGCTGGGGGAAATTACCCTCAACTGGAGGGAGTCCACCATGGCGTTCAAACATGCAGGGAGAAGGGTGGTTGTTAAGGGCGATCCGAAGTTGGAAAAAAGGGTGGTCGGACCGGAGAAGTTGCTGAAGCTGAGTGAGGTGGAGGCTTGGGCGATGGTCTGGAGTTTGGAGGGCGAGAAGGGGAGCGAGAAGAAGGGAGAAAAAGAAGAGTTGTCTGAAGAGCAGAAAGGGGACTTGGAGAGAGTTTTAACACGACATGCAGGGGTATTTCGGGAACCCCAAGGTTTGCCACCTAATAAAAAAGAGAAGCATCAGATTACTTTAAAAGAAGGCACCGACCCCGTAAACGTGCGTCCTTATCGTTACCCACACGCCATGAAGGAAGAGATCGAGAGACAGTGTCGAAAATGCTGCATGCAGGGATTATCCGGCCGAGTATAAGTCCCTACTCAAGTCCGGTCATCCTTGTCAAGAAGAAGGATGAGAGTTGGCGGTTCTGTATCGACTATCGAGCTCTCAACCGCGCCACTGTTCCCAACAAGTTCCCGATTCCGGTGATCGAAGAGCTGCTGGATGAGCTCCACGGTGTGCGGTATTTTTCGAAGGTGGACCTCAAGGCTGGGTATCACTAGATTAGGATGAGTGAAGATGACGTGCAGAAAACGGCGTTCCGCACTCACTTGGGACATTACGAGTTTCTTGTGATGCCATTCGGCCTCACAAATGCCCCCTCAACCTTCCAGAGCGCCATGAACGATCTCCTCAGACCATACCTGCGAAGGTTTGTGCTCGTCTTTTTTGACGACATACTCATCTACAGTGTGACCTGGGTCGAGCATTTGCGACACGTTGAGCAGGTGTTGAGCTGTTTACAGCAACATCACTGGGTGGCCAATCAGAAGAAGAGTGAGTTCGGGAAGAAGACGATCAAATATTTGGGGCACGTCATCTTAGAGGAGGGGGTCCAAATGGATCAGGAGAAGATAGAGGGGGTAGTTGCGTGGGAAGAACCAAAAACGCTGAAGGCGTTGAGGGGATTCTTGGGTCTCACCGGATATTACCGGCGATTCATCCGAATCTATGGGAAGATAGCCAAGCCCCTTACAGAGATGTTGAAAAAGGGGAATTTTGCTTGGACTAAGGCTGCCAAGGAAGCGATGGGAAGATTGAAGTGTTTGATTGTTGGGGAATGGATTTTATGGGACCATTACCTTCTTCACGCTCAACAAAGCAATATACTTGCAACTCCGAAGCATATGTCTGTTCTACATATACAAAACTAGCCTTGCAATCTATTTGAGACTAAGATGAACTGAATCAAAGGGTGTGACATGCGATAGAGTTAAATTGTTATGTAACTATTTGAGTAATGAGCCGAACAAATACTTGCGCAAGCTTCATGGATTCCATAGCAATCAAGCCAAAAAAGGGAAGGAGGACTCGACACATGATCAATTACTTGCCATAGGATTGATTCAGTCAGCACTGAGACACGGTGGTTATACATTAGAGCCCTCACATGTTGATAGGAGTCTTAGAATACCTGAAGTAGCAAATCCTATATTGCTTGGATGCAAATAGATAAAAACCTGCTGTACTATCATACCTCCTATACTTGGTCCAGCATCCATTCTAAAGTCCCGAACGATGCCAATCTTCGCTTGTGCTATTGAAGATCGAAACAGTCTTTTAAGGATTCTTTAATTTCCCGGTTAGAAACTACTACTTCAGCTTGGCCATTGGGTCCGAGGATAATGGAGAGGCAATCTTGGTCTCACATCATAAGTGTGTTGTCAAGACCGTTAGCCTAATTGGATATGTAGCAGAAATTGATCCTGGCCAATCAGCGGTTATGAGGATCCTCAGGCACACAACACCCTGGTCCCACCAAATCTTGAGCACATTGTCTTTGAGAAATTTGACAATTGTCTTGGCATCATTCTTTTGGCGCGCAGCTTCCACCCCACTTACCTGACATAATCCACTGCCACTAAAATGTATTCATTGTTGTAGG